ACATTGGTTAGGCAATGTAACTATAACCTCAGATTCAGACTGTAGACATAGTTGTTGCTATTTTTGTGTGTTTTCAGTTTATGAAAGTTAACTGTTCAGCGTTTGATTGCATTAAAATAACCTCGGATATTCAGTTTTTCTGGTCAGTACATTTTGTTTTGATGGCTTTAAGTTTGTTTGTTAGTAACAAGAATTAGCATTGGAATTATCACAGTTAACTATAGCTGTAAATGCACTGTGCTAACCAAGCTAGCAACTAGCGTTAGGGTTATCCCCATCCTCTTGTCCTGATATGGTCACTTCTGGCTTTAAAAATCCAAGATGGGGATTGGGGGCCAACATGTCAAACTCGAAGCTTCGAAACTGGAGTCCAAAAAGCAATCGGCATTATTTCAGTGGTCTGTCTTCAGCAGTCCTTTTCTGCCAGAACACTTTTAGTTACATCATATACAAGAGAAGTTCAGTGACCAAACCAAGCCAGCTTCAACTACCAGGAAACATCACACTTCTCTCCTCTAAGATAATTGATCGTACTTCAGCCCTGAGGACAGAGCAATGATGAAATCAATGCAATTTTCATGGAGTGGGGTGGCCTGGATACGCTGCACCCATCGAAGCCCACCCCCCTCCCGGTGCATTAGGCTGTGCTGCTCAGCTCCTCTCCCCTGCAGACAGTGATGGATCTGATTCATTTCAATGGTGGCCTCCAGTGCTCACTCCCATTCGGCTGGGTGACAGTGGCAAACTGGCGCTGGCTCCCCACATATCTGCCTGGCTAACACAGCAGAGCGGGGGAGAAGGGAGAAAGGGGGGGAGGTGGCTGTAACTGCCGGGAGCCTGTGTCGACATTTAACTTCTGCTTTTCTTATTTGAGGTTTGCAACTGACCTTAAATTCTTCATTTACAATCTTATCTTTACTCTACTCTGAGTATATTAAAATTTCCTCTGGTGACTTCATGGCACCTTTTCAAACCACTAAGTCTCCCGAAAACACTGCATCTTCAGCAGCCTGTAATGGGAGTTTAATGGATGGAATCTAAAATGCACTGTTACATCTCCTTCTCTTTTTGTTTCACATGCACTCAGCAACATCCCTCTCTGCAACACCACACATTATGCTGTCTCGTAGCAACCGATGTAAAGGAAATGTCAAGTTATATACAAACATGTCAAACTTCCTCTCTGAATAGTTTCCTCAAATGGATCAAGAATGTAACAAACTTTACTCCAAAAACTGCATCATTTTACCTTCATGTGTAATAATAAAAAAATATATTTTTGCCGTTTCTAAAAAAAAATGTGTTTGTCTGTGACCTTAACTGTCTGCTCAGTGTCAGTCTGTCTACCTGTCTGCCTGCTGGTGAAGGATTAAAGAGGACAGGAGAGTGACTGGACCGAAGTGATAGAACTCACTGAACCTTGGGGCTGAGCGTTCCCCAGAGGGACACATGTCCTCTCCCCTAGTTTGGATAGGAAAGAGGGAGGGGGGGTTAAGGCAGAGAGAAAAGAGAAAGCTGTGAAGTCTAACAACCTCACAAAAACCTGTATTCGAAAAACGCACAGGGCTGCATCGTTTGGTGCTTTAGGCACCAGTAAAACAATGAATTAAGATCTATTTGTTTCAAGGGTTGTAAGATGCAAAAACACTGCACAGTGGTTTATAAAATCATAAGGGAGGCATTTCACTGCACTGCAAAGGTAGCACGAAGGCAAACATTTTATCTTTCATCATGGCAATCATGAGATAAACAGGAGAGACACAATGGTTCAAGGTAATCTCACCCTGATGGTACCATCACATTCAACTGCAGCAAAACTGAGCCACATTGGACTAATTTGTTTACCTTGCACAGCAGCTCAGTATATCATGACTTCACACAGAAATCCACCTTGTAAGGCTTTAAATAATGTGTTTGTGTCTGAATCACCAGCGGTTCAGAACAATCAGCATCCTGTGAGGAGCTACTGGCAGCATTCAGGTGGGACAATAGAAAGGCGATGTATACAACATATACAACAATGGCAGCTCCTACAGAGGTTAGCGCAGATGCTGCACTAGCATCAGTTATATTTACATAAGAGCAAAGAACAGCACTGAACTATTCTCCTGACTGGTTTCAGCCTCCTTGATAGAAGTGATAGACAGATGGTTCATCCAGTCACCTCCCATGTATCTTTTAAAAGGTGTCTGCCCTTTACAAAAAGTTTCCCATGATGGCGTCTCACATGATTCTGTGTAACAAACCACCTGGTGCGTCAGGTTACTATTATAAAAGACAACCCTGCATTAGCTTTGCTGGAGTGTTGGCACCATAGCTCTATGAGCACAGTGGGCTCCTTTAAATAAATGACAGGGTTGTGTCTCTTTTAAACACGGCTGTTGTTTGTCTGAGCCTGCCAGAAGAATTGGAAATGAGGGTTCATAGCCTAAAAGGGCTTCAATGAGTGGTGATGGGAAACATAGCAGGGTGAACAATTTCTAAAATAATGCATTTTAAAGTTATAAAGCACATTTTGTGTTTCTTACAGTAACAATATTTCATTTTAAAGCTGCTGCTTTCTGTTTTAGATGAATAATAGTTATCTGTCTATTGTTTCCGAAAACTATTTCGAATGAAACCACGCCCACTTCCGTATCCAGAAAGCCTCAGTGGTTGTGTTCCCATGAAAATCACACTCAGGTGGGTCCAGCAAAGTGTGACAGTGACAGTTGCTTGTAAAATACCAACATAGGGAACAGATCTTGATAAAATCATTGTTAATGAGACCAAGACTTTGCTAGCTAGGGCACCCTGTGGTCCCTTTGCCTCAGTCCCTGCTGCTATGAGACTACTTTGCTTGGAAGAGAGCAGGTGCCAGCTCTGGAGACAGACCTCCGTTTAGTGGCTGTAGCAACTCAAATTCATCCAGCACAAACCGCAGCATCTCTAGTTGCATGCTCCCCTCCTGGTGAAGTAGTCTCCTAGCGGCGCTTAGTGAAGTGAACGGACCGTGGAGTGTGCTAGCTAGCTGATTCTTGTTTCATTTGTGGTGTGATAAAGAATAAATTCATCAAATTCAGTTTCCTATATTGCTATATTCCAAGCTAATGTAGCTGTCATGTTTTGTGGGTCTGCTGTTTCTATAGGAACCCAGCGCTAAGACTTTATTGAAACGGAAGTGGGCATGGTTTCATGTAAAGTAAAGAGGAAAAACAAGGGATACGTGATCACCCTTTCTTGCACTAGGCTGAATGACTTTGTTTGGACAAAAAAGAAGTGGAGAAAGACCAGACAGCACGACACAACAGCTAATGCACAAATGGAGCGACGCTTGCCAGCTGGTTCAGGCAGTCAGCTTGAGCTGCACTGATTCATACACACGTCATATGTCATCTACAAAACACACCCTCCCAATTTGGTGGTCTAGTTAAGCTGCAAAATCTTCCCAGCTCCCCTTTACATTGTCTATGCTACTGCTCGATCTTTTGGGCCCACCTTTACCCAAGCATCCATCTGCAGGCTCCGGCTAAAAGGAGGGAAATATTTATTCATCACTCCCTTAATATCTCATGTAAACATATCTGCAGGGAGCAATTAGGCTGGATGCCAAACTCTGACTATGTTCTGCTACTGAAATTAACCTTTAAATGTGAGTTGTCTGACTGAAGTGAGTTTTAATCTACTGAGTTTGATATAGGACTTTGTATTATTTGCTAAATAAAATGAGTTACATAAAACACTCAAGCAGATATATGCTGACTTGAGGGATGCCAATGTAAAATTGAGAAAAACACAAGATGGAAATTGTTATGGTGAACAGTTATGCTATGTTGTGTAGCATTTTATAAGTGATACCTGTGAGATTTCGACTCCAGTCCCTTACTGTATTCATCCCATTTTCTACCTGGCGTACTATGGAGAACCACATGTTTTGGGGTGGTGGGCAAAAATGACATTAAAACAAGAAGAAAAACAAGTGCACAGGGCGTCAGGGGGTGATGTGTGGTGAGAAGAGGGAGAGACAGAGTGCTCAGAGGATGAGGGCTTGCAGGGAGGGTGAAGGGCAGTGAGGGGAGACTGGGGCCCAGCGTGGTACTCCAAACTGACACACAGCCACGGGACACAGGCTCCAATTAGAGTCACGGCAACACTAATCAAACCTGATCTACAACCTCTGGCTGGAGGGTGAGTGAACGTGCGTGAGTGTGTCGTATTCACACATGAATCCACAATCCTGAGATACACATTCACATTCAGCTAAATCATGTTTGTGTTACTCCAGTAGGTGACGGAATGCACTTCCTCTTAGAGACAGGTAGGCTGGGATTAGCTGACTATCACAATGGGAATTTCATGAAGTTGAAATCCCCTTGCCTCAATATTCCTGACTGTTGCCTAATGACAAATATCCTCCCAGCAGCAATATATATTCTTTATCTGCCTATCCTACAGTGTTATTCCGCAGGCCTGTCAATCGTAACTCAGTGAAGTGCTTCTTAGATATCATATCAAGGCCCACAGTGGGCAAAGAAAATCACATAGAGAATGAGGGGGAATGTGAGACGGTATCACCTATCTCACACAGGAAATGGGACTGTTTGAAGATTTGCATGGTGGTGTGGTTGCTTCATAAAGGTCCTCCTCTAGCTATCTCCAAGCAACAAAAACCTATGGGGGATAGATTAGGGCCGGTGGCAGGGTAAAGGAAAGCCACTCTCGTTTATCATTCACTGCGGCTGAAATGTAGCGATCCCTCTTCTTCAGTCAGTATGTCCTCCACGTGTCTACAGACAGGATTTGCATTAGAGCACGTATGTGTGTGTATTGTGCCTTATACTGAACGTGATTACACACGAGGGAAGTGAAACACACAGTCCAACTTGGAGTTATGGTCACTCATATTAATGACAATATCAGATTAAAGGAATATTCAATGGCAGACTAATTAAATCTGAATCTGTGTGACGCCAATTAGCCTTGAGCACATCAGTGTGACTCCTCCCAAACTGTTAGCCTACCTCACTGTTTTTGGGCACGTGCCGGGCCACGATGAGCTGAATCATCCCTCGCTTGTTTCCCTCTACAGACATGGATTTGCGCAGCGTTTCCATGGCGTCCTGGTTGGTCATCCCGTGCAATGACTCCCCATTGACTGCAATGAGCTGGTCATTGACTCGTAGACGGCCATCCTGCAACAAACACCATCACAGTCAAAAAATACTCAAATCAAATTCTTCTGAACAACGTCATCATTATATCAGAGCTGGAACAGTTTGTAACTTAGCAGCTGCCTCTGAGGCACCACTTCAGGAATCACATGTACTCTTTCTCACAGAAAATCCCAATAAATACCAGGGCAAGATCACAATCCTGTTTCTCCACTCATATTCTCTGAAAAACATTTTAATGTGTTAATGCTGTTACAAACCACTGGCATTTATAAACACTTAAATTTAGCAGTTTAAGGGGATTATAAAAAATTTAACAGCATCATTGCCTCGAGGAAAACATTCACAACATGGTACTTATGTAACATAAAGGCGGAGTCTGCAATTCTGGAGAAACATTGTTAATATTTTAGGTCAAAACCCAACAAATACAGCCTCCTGTCAGTGCTCTTTTGAAGCTCTGCTAATATTTCTGATATTAATTAGGTGCCATTACTATCATACTGTAACTCTTTTCCTTGTAGGCGAGGATGTGGAAGAGGGAGAGTAGCCAGCATAGTGTTGGTCCAAGCAACTTTGTTTGTTTGTGTATGAACACTGGATTTTTTTCAGTACACGCAGAACAGCTAGTGAACCATGAGGAGACATTTACTGCATTTGACAAAAAGTGTATTAGAATCACAGACTACACCTTTAAATAGCCTTAAAAGGTAATTATGCCTGTTTCCAAAATTCACACGTTATTCCTGTGGTAAGACGGACCTTAACTAATAGTAAACATGTACAACTCTCTCCTAAATCCAAAAGCTAAAGTGCAAAAACTACAATTTGTGTTGTCGTTAAAAGGATAGAGCACTCAAAAATGAAAATTCAGCCATTATCTACTCACCCATATGCCGAGGGAGGCTCAGGTGAAGTTTTAGAGTCCTCACATCCCTTGCGGAGATCTGAGGGGAGAGGAGGTAGCAGCACAACTCCACCTAATGGAGGCTGACGGCGCCCCAGATTCAAACGTCCAAAAACGCATAATTGAAACCACAAAATGTCTCCATACTGCTCGTCCGTAGTGATCCAAGTGTCCTGAAGCCACTCTTACTACGGTGAGATACGGACGAGCAGTATGGAGACATTTTGTGGTTTCAATTACGTGTTTTTGGACGTTTGAGTCTGGGGCGCCGTCAGCCTGCATTAGGTGGAGTTGTGTTGCTACCTCCTCTCCCCTTGGATCTCTGTAAGGGATGTGAGGACTCTAAAACTTAACCTGAGCCTCCATCGGCATATGGGTGAGTAGATAATGGCTGAATTTTCATTTTTGGGTGCACTATCCCTTTAAGTATGAAGTCTGGAACTGCTCCACAGACAACGAATTGCAAAAGATGTTATAAACCGAATCACAGTGTTTGTTTAAAATAACTTCCAGGATAGAAAACCCCACAGTACATACACACAGTGAAAAAGGTGCTGAGCAATAGCTAGCTCAATTAGTTAGTTTTTAGCCACCTCAAAAAATCCATATCAGTTTAAAGGTAGGATCTGGAGGATTTTCAAACAAAACAAAATATAGACATATACAAATGAAATCCTGCTTAATCATCACCTATGGGCTTCTACTCATGTGTGGTGGTGACTCTGTTTGCAGAGCTCCTGCCCTTTAACTGTATTTTGATGTTTTTGTGAGCTCGGACCGCTTCTGGGCGGAGATTTCCCCAGCCAATGAGAGAGCGCAGGTGCCGTGCCCGAGCGTGTCCGAGCGTGCACCAGCGCGAGCCTTGTCTGAACCTCTTCTGTGAAGCCTTCTTCCGTACCTCCAGGCTCCGTACACCCGGGAGAGTTGAGCCTGATAGGAGGGGCTGAATTTGAATGTGTGTTTACAAACAGCAACTGGAAAATCCTCCAGACCCTACTTTTAAATGTACGCTATATTTAGAATATTTTCACTGCTATACCGTAGCGTAAGTTAACCATTTCCCACTGGGTACTGAGGCCGTAATCTCGAAGACACCAGAATCAACTGACAAAAAATGTAATTTATCTTCACAAAACAAAGGAGTTGCTGGTCTACCGTTGCCTCAACTGGTTAGTGTGTCAGGTAAAGTGGAGAAAATATCCCAAATATAGCGCACACTTAACAGATGTTGATTTTTTTAGGTGGCTTAAACTACATTTTGCTGCAGCCCCTGTCCACAGCAGAAAATTGCTGAGTGTACATGCTGGCAGATTTGGTTCATCAAAGATGCTAGCAAAGCAACACAGTTCATAAAATCAACACAACAGAAACATCAGATGGATAAGACCACTAGAGTTTAAATGTTACAGTTACGGCATTTGCACATGATTTCACATATCTCCGGAGCTGAAATCAGCTGGCAGTCTTCTACCTGGAAGTGACTGCTGTTGTTAGGGAAATGACATGGTGTTTTGGTCTATAGATGACCCTGAGAGCACCCAGGAGAATGTTCTGAGTATATGTGTACATTTTCTGTTCCAGATCTGAGAACACTTCAATAGAGTAAAGCTTATTTGGGTAGAAAAAAAAAAAAAGAAAACAAACATTCTGTGGGTCGACAAAATCAGGCTCCCATTCATTGTCTGTCGAGCAGCTCAAGACTTTTTAAACCCTATGACATCACAAGTTTGAGACTTACTTCTCTGGTTTCTGGCTCTGAGATAGAGTAGCTCATGTTCACAACTATTGATTGAACTTTCCTCGGCCATGGAAATAACATCTTGGAATTCTTAATTTAGGTGGTGTCCCCTTCAACGTCAAGTGACCACTCAAAATCGTCAAACAAAGGACTTTGAATCCATGCAGTCTGGTAGTCCATCTCATGTTTGTACTCACCTGTATGTCCTCAGGTTATAGCAACAGCAATGACTGAAATCAATGAAATCAATCAAGGTAATGGTCGGAGCGTAAGTGGGTGGGAGTGGTTACTTGCCTTGCTAGCAGCACCTCCATTAATAATGGATTTCACAAAGATGCCCAAGTCGGCGTGGCTCTCCTTGGACCGGTTCCCCTTGACGCTGACCCCCAGGCCTGCTGAGCCGGAGTCATTCAGAGGGATCTCAAAGGTCATGAACTCTTGCGTACCATCAGGGGTTAACACCATCTCATCTTCCTCTGGCTGCTGTGGGTATAAAGTAGGAAAAGAGACTGTGTGAGTTTCTGTTATATGAGTTGACTTTTAAAAAGAACATCTGAAGTGAGTATTTGTCATAGCTGTGGCACTGCTGATGTGCTGGTGAACTTCAGCACAAACTTTTTGTTAAAGTGAAAAAGTAAGGGCACAAAAATCTGCTCGCAGCTCTGAGTCTTTTGGGCTGATGACTCAACCTCCCGACCAAAGTTGGCAAACTGTTGTTGAGCTCAACTATGTCACTTTTGCATTCAAACCTCTGTGTGAAGTATCTAACTTTAACTTTGGTGAGAAGACAGAAAAACAAAGAGCATAAAAAAAAGATAACAGAGACTAGCGAAACAAAAATTTAAAGAACAGGGATGGTGAATGACAAGAAAATGGAAAGCAGGCGGGAGACAAGATAAAGAGGGGAAAGATGAGGGGGGCAGGAGAAGAAAGCGAATGGATGGCAAGCATGTCACATATCTCAGGGCTGTCATCGTCAATTGGCCGTACTGTCTAGCCAAGCGCTGCTAATTCCTTTCCGCCGTCATGAGCTCGGTGTAGGAGCAGCGGGGACAGCGGAGAACTTTGAGAGCGCCAGGTAGCAATTTGGCGCTCAAACAACAGTGGCTTCCTCTGAACAACACCCCTATGAAGGATAATTTGTGACACGTTAAGAACCCGACCCTCCTTCCCCGTGCGATCCGCGGGCCTTTTGTTGGAAATTACCATAGTATAAAGTGTTTTGTTGCACGGCTCGTACTGCGGATCCTCATGCATGGTACACAAAAAGATGGTTCATTTCAGCTGCCAGAGAGGTGTGAGAGACTACTGTTGAGTGTCTAGCACCCAGCACGATCAATTCAGCTGGAAAATAGTCCATCAAACAACCACTCCAGTCTCTTTTCTGACAATTTCCACTGGTGTCTAACAAAGAGCATCTGTAGAAAAATAACCAAAGGAATAGGATTTGTGTATTTTACCTCTTGCTTGCAGCCAAACAGAAGGAGAAGAGGTGTGAGAGAAAGTTAATGGTGTGGAGAAAACACCAGAGGCATTAAAGAACTGGCACACTTTTCTTATGTTGACTGCGGGAAAACTGGGTAAAGATTTAAAAACGTCATTTTTGTTCAGTGGTTTAGTGCCTACCAACGATTTTTTAGCTTACTGTAGCTGAGTAAACCAAAAGCTTTGGTCTCAGTCCTCCAGTTTGAGTAACGAAAATGAGACTCTTTGTCTGTATGTTTCAAATGGGAGATAACAAGTCTCCCATTCAGACATTTAAGCATCTGCTACTGGCCACTGAACTGCTCCACTTGAGTTCATTGGTGTTCAGTGCCTTGCTCAAGGGCACCACCTTTCAGCCGCAGTTGTTGAGAGAATTAGAGCGCTTCCTGTTTCCCCACACACACGTTTATATTCAGTACATAAGAGCTGACGACTGTCTGATCATGATCCCCGCTCCACAGGAAGCTTGAGAGCAGTGCTGTATTACTGTGATTGGCCGGATCGTACTGTACGTGCGTAGTTATTGCCATGGCAGCCGAATCCACATGAACAATACTGGCGGTGAGAGCAATCAACCCCAGAAACCCGCCACAAGAACTCTTTAAATAGACTCACATCAATACACACGCGTGCACACAAACACACAGCCAGATGGATGGCAGCCAGGTGTGTGCCCTTCACAGCTGCTCGGATAAAGAGTGAAGCGGAGGAAAGAAGGGAAAGATAGAGCATAAGGTGTTCTTTTTTTTCTTTTCGGAGGCTGAGGAGTTATTAGGATGCAGCGGTGCGTTCAGGTGGAGGCTCTTTTCAACACCCTCTGACTGAGCCCCTATTCTCCAGACGGCCCTTCTATCTGCCCCCTTTTCTTTCTCTCTCGGCTTTTATTCTCCTGCTTTCAAAATGGCAGTACACCTGTCTGTACAACTTGCCAACTGGGCTTTGTCCGTGACTGGACCCACAGTAAATTCAGACCGCTGGAATCCATTAAATTGTGCTGTGTTTCAACACTTCCGGTTCTATTACAGAAATCACCAGCTCTTGTCAGGAAATGACCCTTTGCTTCCCCTCAGACGGATGAATGAAGCGGATAGGGGAGAAAAAAATACAACTATCCAGCACAGGTGTAAATATAATACATCAGCGTTAACCTCCCATTCTTGTTTGGAGCTTGGACATCATGTCAGCAGAGAAAGCTTTGACAGCTGTTATACTAAAATGGCCTTAACTCAACTCATGGAATGTGATCAGTTAGTTTACAATGCAGGCTCTTAGCAACGCAGCACAAACATGCAATTTTGAATAGAACGCTCATGAATGAATGGCCTTGTGCGTCATTGGCAGGGTCAATCTTTATCTTTAATGAAGATGTTTTATCAAAATAAAATAAATAAATAGTGGCTATGAGTTACGTCCCTAGAGAGGCTTTTAGCCCAGCAGTTGAACACAGTACTACATTGGATGAAAAAATTACTTTAGATGGACCCTGTCTGAGCCTCTGTGTGTGTGAATGCGTGTGAGCGCGCTCTCCCAAAATGATGACAGAATAACCACCCACTCAGAGCTGTGTTCCGGGAATAGCGGGCCGAGGCAGAGAATGAGAGAGCAGTGTAACATTTTCATCAGACAGGAACAAGCGCCGCTAGCCAAGAATGAGTTTGTCAGGCTGCTTGACAGGCCTCATTGCACCGATTCGGCTCAGGCAGAGCCGGATTCCACTACCTCTGAACAGGAGAAGAAAGAAAGTCACCTCATTGTTCCAAGCTCAGTCCCGTTTATGCACCGGGGACAGAGAGAACAAAAGTACTGACAATAGATGAACTGATGTAAAAACACTGAAACAGTTGCATGCTTAAATCAAAAAGCACCAGAAAAAAAAAAAAAAAAAAAAAAAGTTTTATTTGAACTGTCTGTGTCATCAGCCACAATCCCACATTGTTAACGGCAACATCTTGGGTTCAACATGTTTTCTCAAATCAAATTATTTTCTCAGGTACGGTCACTGGCAGGAAGCTTTCTGCTAACATTTGACAAATCCAAATTGTGTCTTTTACAGCAAGGAGAAAATCCTCTCCAGAGAGAGCTGCACTCACTAATGATGGCTGAATGTCTCCAACACCTCTACCCGGACCAGCTGCTAATGCCAGGAACAAGGTGCACCTAACTGTGAACACACTTGGCCTTGCACAATTCACAACAAACTTTTTTTGAGATTACATCGTCTCCTGTCAGATTTCAAGCTTAAACTACAGAATCTCATTCAGATGTGTCTGTTCTGACAGTACAACGCAAACAAATATGATGTAATATAGTCTGAACTTCAGTCAGGGAGCAAGGAAGTTGCCTTCCTGAGAGTGCTGATATATCCACTGTTAAGTACATGTTTGCTTCTTCCTGTTCACACGTACAGCACTCTACGTATATGCACTGTTAGGATTGTGTTTACAGACCTTCTTCTTCTGCAACAAAGCAGCCAACGGTGCAACCATCCTTTTTGTTTTGCAAATAAGTGTCACTACAACCTTAAAACTGTTGTCACTTAAAAAGAAGAGGTCTAGAGACGTGTCGCTGATGTTGCATCACATGTGTTAAGGTTTTTAAAGTGGACCTTTTATGCTAATTTTCAGGTTTATACTTGTATTTGGGGTTTCTACCAGAACATGTTTACATGCTTTAATGCCCAAAACAACCCATTTTAATTTCCTCGCACTGTCTGTATTGGAACACCTGTATTCACCCTCTGTCTGAGATGCTCTATTCTTGTGCCTGTCTCTCTAAGCCCCCTCCCAAGAAAGCCCAGTGTGTTCCTATAGATCTTCCATATCTACGCACTTGGCTAGCATCTTGGCTGGCTGAGGGAATGACTGTAACAGAGTATAGTTGCACTTTCTACTGTGTTAAATCACCAAAGTCTTTCCAACAGGACATGTTTCAGCAGGTATATGATCCAAAATTGGGGAGAAATTAACAACCTCAGCAACCACGATAATGTTTACTAGACTTTAGCATGTAGCTACATGTAGCAGTGTACCTGCTTCAAGGGAATGACTGTAACGGAGTATAGTAGCACTTTGTACAGAGAAAAATCACCAATAAAAGCTTCCAAACCAAATTCTTTACAGCTGGTTATGTTCCAGTAGGAATATGATCTGAAATCAAGAAGAAATTAACAACACCGCCAACCGAGATCACATGTTTCCCTGTTGCTAGCGTGTAGCTACATGTAGCAGTGCAGCTCAAGCCAGGGAATGAGAGTAAAGTAGGATTGCAGCACTTTGTACTGTGAAAGTTTCCCAATATTAACTTCCAAACACAAGCTGACATGTTCCAGCAGAAATATGATCCAAAATTGGGGAGAAATTATCGACATCAACAAATAAGATCACATGTTTACCTGATATTAGCATGGAGCTACATGTAGCTGTGTACCTGATGCAAGGGAATGACAGTAATGGAGTATAGCAGCACAATATACTGAGAAAAATCACCAACAAAAAAAACTTCCAAACCAAGCTCTTTACAACTGGATATATTCTAGCAGGTATATGATTCTAGGTTGGGGAGAAATTAACAACATCAGCAACCAAGATCACACGTTTACCTGTTGTTAGCATGTCGCTACATGTAGCAGTGTACCTGAAGCAGCAGGAATATGATCCGAAATCAAGGAGAAATGATCAATATCAACAAACAAGATTACATGTTAGCATGGAGCTACATGCAGCAGTGTACAGCAGGCTACAATGTAAACACTTGCAGTAATGTACCTGGAGCACACATTATATATTTATAACCAACAGTGAAACTTAATATATATGACAGAAAATAGGGAAAAGCATAAAGGTCCCCTTTAAAGTCACAACAAAATCCACAGATACTACAGTTGGATACAAGTACGCATGTTGCCTGGTGCATAAAAGGTTAAGTACTGTGTTCCGGTACTACTCATTAAGGTCAAACTTAGCACTAAACCTTTTCAAGTGGAGTGGTTGTAATGCTGA